TGCTTCAGATATTCATTCAACAAACTGGTTGCAAGGACCAAGGTTTCTTTGGGAGCATGAGTTACACTTAACACTCAGCACTCCAACAGAATTGCTTGTCGGTGATCCTGAAGTAAAGACAATTCAGGTGCTTGTAACTGAAGTCAAAAGCAGTAAAGACATCCTCGAACGCCTGAATTGGTTTTCCTCTTGGATAACACTTCTCAAGGTGATTGCAAGAATCAAGAGACTAGGCTCAAAGCAACAACATAGCGAACATGTAACTGTTGAAGAAGTACAAAGAGCAGCTGAAACTGTGATTAAGATTGTTCAACAACAAAACTTCCCAATTGAGGTAAAGATACTAGAAGGTGAAAAGAACATTCCAAACACCAGCACCCTTTTTAGTCTTGATCCCATCTGGTCTGAAGGGCTTCTCCGCGTGGGTGGGAGATTGAAGCAGTCATCTCTCTGTTTGAAAGTCAAACACCCAGTAATACTACCCAACAACAGTCATATTACTAAGCTGATTGTGTCACACTACCATGCTAAGACATACCATCAAGGTCGAGGCCAGACACAAATGGAGCTCAGGATCAATGGATTCTGGATCATTGGTGGGAGCAAGTTGGTAGCCAAGCTGATACACGATTGTGTGTTTTGCAGAAAACTTAGGCGACCAACAGAAAAGCAGAGAATGTCTGACCTTCCTAAAGAACGTGTAGAATCCTCTGCACCCTTCACATATAGTGGCATGGACTGTTTTGGCCCTTTCATTGTAAAGAAAGCCCGCAAAGAGTACAAAAGATATGGCCTAATTTTCACATGTCTCTACTCTAGAGCTGTCCATATTGAAATGCTCGAAGATTTGCCATCTGACTCATTCATAAATGCACTGAGATGCTTTATTAGCATTAGAGGAGCTGTACGACAACTGCACTGTGATCAAGGCACTAATTTTGTTGGTGCCAGGAACGAGTTCACACAAGCACTGAAACAATGTGACACCAAGTTACTGGAAGTTTTCTTGGCAGATAAACAGTGTGAATTTGTTTTCAATTCCCTCTCTGCCAGCCATGCAGGTGGTGTATGGGAAAGGCAAATCAGAACCATCAGAAATGTATTGAATGCTACCTTCACACAGTGTTCAGGCCGACTTGATGACGCATCCCTCAGGACATTGTTATATGAAGCCATGGCTATTGTCAATAGCTGCCCATTAACAGTGGATGGAATCAATGATCCTCAAGCATTGGAGCCTATAACACCAAACCATCTCATTATGATGAAATCTAAGGTTGCTCTCCCTCCCGCTGGAGTGTTTGTCAAAGAGGACCTATATGCCACAAAGAGGTGGAGGAGAGTGCAGTATCTCATTGAACAATTCTGGAGTCGCTGGAAAAAGGAATATTTGATGAACATTTCCATGAGACAGAAATGGCACTCAGCTCAACGCAATCTCAAGAAGGAGGACATTGTCATTATCAAAGACGATAACCTTCTGAGAAATCAGTGGCAACTAGGACGAGTAGTTGACACTGTTCAAGGCAGTGATGGATTGGTCCGTTGAGCCAAAGTTCAAGTCGGTGAACGAAAGTCAAATTCTTCTTCTAAACTTTCAATTATTGAGAGGCCAATTCAGAATTTAGTTCTTCTTTTGGAAAATTGATGAGAAAAGATGAACAACTTTTGTACAGTTTGTTTATTTCATGGTAATTTTATGCAACCATATTTAGTCTACATTATTTAGTAGAGTAAAAATCCTGTTCAATTCATTTACTCTTTATGTATTACTTTGTTCATTCATTGTAACAGGATTTGGTGGGAGTGTAAATAACTGCTTAATTGGAAAATTCTCCTTGTTCATTGGTCCAACAGTGACTCCTAGTGGTTAATTTATGCTTTCATTTAAAGAACGGTAGATTTCTTCTTTGTTTATTCTGTGGTTACCTAGCAACACCCTGCGAGACGAAACAACATTAGATTATAAAGAAACCCGGAGAAAATCTTTAAAATAGCGCCCTCGGAAAGCAGAATGAGGTATAAATATATGTAATTGTGATTTGTAATAAGAAATGTTATAGGTTTATTTAAGAAACAGTAGAATGTCGTGGTTTATAAACGAAACTGTATATTAATGAGTTAAAGGACATAACGTATTTTTTGTGTATAACTGAATATTGATATTTTGATTTTATACAAGAGCTGAGTATGTCCAACCGTTCTGTATTCTTTTGTTTTATGCTACAGTTTTCACGGTGTCAATGGAAAGAAAGGTTGAGATTAAATTGCACCCGTTTGAAACTCCCTGCGTCTGGCTGTTCAATCTGAGAGGCCGCTACAGTGAAAACTCAATGCAAGAGACCAGATCTTTCTGCAGTGAAGCTGACACCATCCCATCTGGAACGAAGCTGTCTCCTCCCGCACCAATGATCTCACACAGGCAAGATAAAGCATAAAGTTAAAACGGACAATCACAAGAACAAGCTCACAGCATAACTGAATTGGCGTAGTGTCAAGGGATAGTTTAAAAAGTCTTCTGTGAACCCAAAGCAGACAGAAAGCAAATAAAATGTCACTTCCAACAGAGAAAACAGAAAATCCTGTTGACATGCTGTCTAGTTCCAGAGAAAGAAAATTAACAGAAAAAGGCCAAGAGATGCACATCCAAGAGAACAAAAAACGTGAGAAAGCGTTCCACAAAGTTTATGATTCTTGAAAGTGGGGAGCAAGAAAAATTAGGAAAACACTAAAGGCCCTCTGTACATTAGAAGAACTCAATGATTTACAGGAAAGCATTCAAGCAAAGTATGATGCTGTAAGACTGCAGTACGAACCCATTCTACGTAACAGTAACACCACAGCAGAGATTGTCAAAAAGATGGAAGCCTGTGTTACACTCACAAAAGAAATCTGTGACCTTATAAACAATCGTATAGAGGCTATTGATAAAGATTATAATAGTCATCTTGAGAAAGAAAGAGTAAGAGAAACATTAAACAAAGATGAATATGGATCTATCTTTGGTCACACTCATACTGAAACCATAAACTCATCAAAGTCATCAGAGAGTTCAAGCAGACATTCCAGTTCATCTAGTATTAATAACAGAAAGGCAGATGCACAAGCAGAGCTTGCTGCTAAAGTGGAGCAATCAAAGGCTACAAGGGAAATTCAAGCACAGCAAGCACAACTCCAAAAATTAGAAAATGAATGGAAACTTAAAGAGTCAAAAATGCTGTCAGAAATGAAGCAAAGGGAAGTGGAAATGCAACAACAGCTGGAACAAGAAAGACCAAAACTGCAACGGTTAAAAGAAGAAAAGGAAATAGCTGTAGCGGCAGCTCGTGTGAGAGCATATGAGGAATTTGAACACTGTGAAAACAATGTTGAAGAAATTGAAGATATTAATTACAGAACTGACCCTGTCTTCTCTAGAGCTAAACCCTGCTTAAATGCAGATGCTGCATCGTTCCAGCCTTACTAATCATCTCCTGAGGTGACAATAAATCCAGAAACATCCAATCTAGCTGAACCATTCGCAAGCTCATTAAGTATGACTCGCTTGCCAGTCCCTGAACCCACAATATTTAGCGGAGATCCTTTGAGGTTTACTGATTGGAATATGTCATTTATGACTCTTATTGACAGAAAGCCCATCCCAGCAAGTGAGAACATGTTTTATCTCAGAAATTATCTTGCTGGAGAAGCACACAAAGCTGTTGAAGGTTTATTTTATCGAGACTCAAAAAGTGCATACATTGAAGCATGGAAAGTCTTACAAGACAGATATGGAAACACGTTTATTATACAGAAAGCCTTCTGCGACAGGCTTGCAAGATGGCCAAAGATCAACGCAAATGACTCACTTGTGCTACGTGAGTTTTCTGACTTCCTCCAAGGCTGCAAAGAAGCAATTCCACATGTCAAGGGACTAGCTATCCTCAATGACTGTGAAGAGAACCATAAATTGATCAAAAAATTGCCTGAATGGATTGTTCGCAAGTGGAGTCAAATAGTTGTAGAGGAACTTGATGGATCAGGTGATTATCCAGATTTTAAATGCTTCACAGAGTTTTTGAGCAAAGACGCAAAAATAGCCTGTAATCCCATCGCCTCACCCCTGTTGGGGGGAAATTTAAAGTTTCCAGATGACAGAACCCCAAAAAGAGCCAAAACTTTCAACACAAATGCACTACAAAAAGGTTCCAGTCATGGGACACAGGATACAAATAGCTGTAAACCAAAATCACCTTACTATGTTTGTAAAAGTGAAGCCCAGGGCATCACCGGGTGTCCTACTTTCGCATCAAAAAGTGATGAAGACAAAAGGACATTCATACATGAAAAACGGCTCTGCTTTGGGTGCCTGAGAAAAGGTCATGTGACAAAGGATTGTAAGAGACGACACACATGTAATATATGCAGACGTCGTCATCCAACCTGCTTACATGAAGAGAGGATGGAAAGACCTGTGGAAACAACAACAAATAGCTCCACTTTCACAGAAGAACATGCTAGTCAAGAAACAAACAGAGTCGTGTCCCATACATCAACACAGCATGCTTCTGCCACCACCAGTTTTGTACCAGTACTTGTGTCTTCATTACAAGAGCCGCACAAAGAAATACTAACATATGCAATGCTGGACACACAGAGTGACTCAACATTTGTGTTAGAAGATGTCATTGACAGACTGAATGTGGATTTCCATCCAACAAAGTTGAAACTCAGTACTATGACTGCTGTCGACACAATTATTTCTAGCAAGAGTGTTCATGGTCTACAAGTCTGAGGACTTAACTCAGAGAGTTACATCCAATTACACCAAGCTTACAGCAGAGACTTCATCCCAGTAGACAAGTCTTATGTCCCAACAAAATAAACTGCATTGATGTGGCCTCATCTCAGAAGCTTGGCAGATAAGTTACCACCCGTTCAAGACTGTGATGTAGGGCTTCTCATTGGATACGACTGTCCAGCTGCCCTAGCTCCACTAGAAGTCATAACAGGTGACAAAAACCAACCCTTTGCCAAAGATCAGAACTAGGATGGAGTGTAATAGGCTAATCAAATCCCCACCTAGACAGACAAGGAAGTCAAAGCTTTGTGCATCGGCTCACAGTAAAGGAGCTAGCAATCCCATCGACGACTGACATTTTAAAGGTCTTAGAATCGGATTTCATGGAGAGAAGCTATGAAGATAAATATGTGTCTCAAGATGATGTTAATTTTATACAGTTTCTCAGCAACAACATCACACAGAAAGATGACGGGCATTACGAAATGCCTCTCCCTTTCAAAGGCAGCAGTCTGCCTAACCTACCAAACAACAAAAGACTAGCCCAAGCTTGCCTGCAGTGTCTTAAGAGGAAATTAAAGGCCAACGAACAATATTACAAGCAATACAAAACATTCATGGAAGAAACCATAAATAAAGGTGATGCAGAGCCTGCCCCTTCAACATCTGAGGGAGAAACAGAGTGGTATCTTTCACATTATGGCATCTACCATCCCAGGAAGCCAGATAAGCTAAGAGTTGTTTTTGACTGTTCAGCCAAATTCCATGGTGTTTCGCTTAATGACACACTGCTTACTGGGCCTGATTTAATCAATCCTTTGTTAGGAGTGCTATGTCGCTTCAGGAAAGAGACCATAGCAATAATTTGTGATATAGAAAGAATGTTTTACCAATTTTCTGTCACTCCTGAATCCAGAAATTATCTTAAATTCCTCTGGTGGAAAGGAGGAGATTTGGAGAAAGAACCACATGAGTACAGGATGGCAGTTCATCTCTTTGGAGCTGCTTCATCTCCAGGATGTGCCAATTTTTGGCTAAAGCATCTAGCACAGCAGCACAAGACTAACTATCCTCAAGCAGCCACATTTATTGAGAAAAACTTTTATGTGGATGATGGCTTAGTTAGTGTCCCATCAGAAGAGGAAGCCAAGAAACTTCCTCATAAAAGTTGTGTAAAAAGGGAGGCTTACGGCTTCACAAATTCAATTCAAACAAGGAAGCTGCTCTCGCCTGCTTGAGTCCCTCAGAAGTAGCAACAGCCATCGAACCCCATGGTTTGGATCCAGCCTCATTGGAGCGTGCACTTGGC